TCTGTGTGTATATACATATATACTACCTGTCTATCTATCTACCTGCCGATCTGTCTTCCTATCGATCTAAAATCAATCCGTCTGCCTGCCTGTCTGTGTATATATATATATATATACATACGCATGAACACACTCTTTGTAACTGTACGTGCATACATACACTACATACAAGGCAGGCCTGTAGCCCGCAGCTGTTGCGCATCGGCATTGCCAACGATAGTTCCCCTACAGCAAAGCATGTAAAGCATGGTTATTTGTGGGAAGGCAGATGTGTAAGAGCTCGAACCTTAAAGTTACATTTTGAATTCCATGTCAAAGTCGCAGCGCCGCAGGGAGTGATGGGGTTGAGATTCAGGATGTCGAACCCATTTTACCGAAACTACTGTGTGTGTTGGTGCACCGTACGACATTACCAGAACGATGTGCCCCAGGCAGAAAGTGACAGACGGCTGACAGAGCGTGAGGCAGCGAAGGGGTGGGGCTGGGTGGGCTACAACGCACGAAATTCAGTAGCTGTCTTTGAAGGTCAGTGAGTTTATTGATCTTGAGACAGTTTTCGCAGTCTGTAAGCAGGAACTTGGTGTCTCATAGCAGCGGCATAGCAAGATGATTCTCCACCTCGGAAGACTGTGACTTGGCATTGCGCGTCACGTTTTTGTTGTCTTGACAGGAGCAGCTTGGTGCACGCGAGCGGACCGTCGTCATGGCTGAGGCTGATATTCAAGAAGCAGCAGAAGGTGTTAGCAGCTTAATGCTCGCCGCATTGGACTGATGAGTCGTTTCAAGCTTTTTGAAGATCCTTAAAGCAAACCTTGTCGGATATATGACATGCGAAATCATCCGACAGAGAAGCTCTCGGCGTGCTAGCCGGTAGTCAAAACATAGGGCCCAGTGCCTCCTCGGTCTGTGTTCAGGAAAATGCTCGCCAAGCGGCCGAGGCCGGTGTCAAAGCTCGGTGTTGTTTGAATATGTAAGATATAGCAGGTATAACCTTTCGCATTTCTAAGTATGCAAGCAGGCGTTGGTTTCAATAAGCGGAGAACCGAATGAAGTTACGAAAGTAGAAAAGCCAAAAAGTCAAAGCGTTTTTAGACTTTTCGGCTTTCGTGTTGTCCCTGTGTTTTTCGCACAGTTATGTTTTCTTTTCGGGTTAGTTTTTCGACTTTCGCTTGTCTGCGCTTTTCGCACTTTTCGGTACTTTGCTTTTCTGCTTGTCGAATCGTTGGACTGTTCAGTCATTTTCACACATTTTCCGCTTTTCGCATTTTGCTGGGCTGTTCCAACGTTCGGTACTTTTCGGCTTCGTCGATTTTTTCAGGTTTTCACACACAAGCTCCACGCTTGGCTAAACGTAGGCTTTTCTGGCCCAGGGCTGGGCTCGGGTAAGGCCTAGCGAGGGTGCCCTGGGCTGTTGTTCCAGGCGTAAGCGCAGCGGGAAGCCCCGGGGGTAGGCAGGCCAAGAGTTCAAGAGGTTGTAGCAAGGGCTGGTCGTGGAAACTGATTGAAAATATACGTAGGCCTAGGGCTAGGCCTGAGGCAACAGAAAAACAAGTATCAGTCGGCGGTAGTCGTAGTAGTATTGTCACTAGTCCTGGCAGTAGCTTTGAGCAGAATCGAGCTTGATGGCAAACCATTTCGGGTTCCGCCCACGCCACCAATAATAATAAGTAGCCAAAGCATGCCTAGTTTTGCTGAGTTTTCGGATCAGGCGAACTCTTCAAATACATGTGCTCTTTCGATGTTATTGATCAATTTTGGTTTTTCCAACAAACAATAACAAGGAGCCAAAACACAGTCTGTTTGAGTCTGAGGAGCCGCCCAGCTGCATGTCTGTTCATGTTGTTGTTTTCCATGTTTGGGCATCCTCGCAACACTTGAAATGAACGAAACCATAGGCATTTTACATGTTTGTGGTTCAAGAACCCTTAATGGCAACTTTCGATGATGATTGAGCATCTCGTGGTTCCGACAGCACCAAAATAGGCCTATGTGTCGGGTTGGGTGATGTTTGGCCAGACTTGTTGAGCTGTCGCCTTCTTCGATGCTTATGGATTTGGGACGTTTTCGATATTTAGACTTTTCGACTTGTGGCCTTCCGCTGTACTTTTCGACTTTTCGCGGGTTTTGATTGTTCGACTGTAAAGCTAGCATCTGGCAGTACGTTTCGACTTTTCAGAAGTTTTGCTGCATGTTTCGACTTTACGCTGCTCGCTGCTTTTCGACTTCTAGTTTTTCTGCTGTGCTTTTTGCAACGTTTCGCTGTGTCTTTATTGACTTTTCGACTGTCAGCCTTTTCGGGTCTTCTGTTTGTCCCCACAAAATCCTTAAACACTGCAATGCCACTTCGACTTCTCGCTTACCAGCTTTTCACGTCCCGTTTTGGCATTCCCGGCTTATCCGCGCCAACAGCCATTCGCAAAAACAGCTCATCTTTTATGTATGAGATGTTCTATCCAATGCAAAGTAGATACTGTTTATTGTTAGCAATATCCTCTACAACATGTAGTATACGATATATAACATATATCACATAATATGTTGTATACAAAGCCACAAATACAAGCGGCATAATGTAGACTATACTGTACAATGAAACTATGGTAAGCTTACAGCATATAACCCACAACCAAAATCTGGACTATATAACATATAACCATAATGCTTACCATATAACATATAGTTCAAGTGTATAATGTACAGTCTATAGCATCTCATATGTAATGCGTGGTCTTCACCATTTAATATGTATTATAAAATGTAGACTGTTGGTGTATATATATATATATGTATACATATATATATATAGATATGTATATATGTATGTATATGCAATTGCAAAGCAATTGCTATATATTGTGTGCTTTATATATGTAAACTATGTAATGCCTTTCATATATGATATGTCACACGCAATAACATGAATGTAGTATATACTTATCAGTATATAGTGCAAAATATGTATGACATATTCTAAAGTTGATTTTACATAATGTAGAAAGTTTTTTACGCAATATGATTATTATCATATTATGATATGATGTATCGTTGGGAATATACAAAAGTATCCACGATGCATTTTCGATAGGCAGTATGTAATATAGAACTAATTTATGTGATACGTACTATCTGACATATATATATATATATATATGTGTATATCTATATACACATACACTGTACACACACATATTATCATATATATATATACATATACATATTATACAATCTAGCATATAGTATACAGTGCTTACTTGCAATATTTGCCAGACAGTATATGGTATTTAATGTACATTACAACATACCAAAACAATACGATATTAGTGTATAATGATGTAACAGTATAGCAGTATATGATGTACATCGCTATAAGAATAGCAGATAAAATCGGGTCGCGGCCTTGTCTGGAGGTTGGGGCTCCGCGCAAGCGCCTGACAGCACGCAAGCAGATCGATGGCGACGTGTCCATGCTGAGCTGAGGGTGTGCGCATTGTGCAGCATCTCAGCTCCCACGGAGCCGCGGGAGAACCGACAGCTTCTGCATTTGTTTTTTGGGCTTCGCTGAAACAGGCTACATCGAGGAACTTATGTTTATGTCTTCGCTCAAACAGTAGACTACCATGACCGACTTGGGACACCCAGAGTCCGTGTCCTGTCGGCTAGCGGCTAGTGATTCTTTAGTGCCTCTCTTAATTCGATGCCTCTGGTTTGCTCAGGGGCCACTCTCTGACGACATGGTATCACTTTGTGGTTGACTGCTCAGCCGCCATCCAACGGTTAGCTGCCGTGCTATTCGGCTGATTGTGCAGTTCGTGGCAACGATTGTCATTGCTATCCAGTAGTGGCACTTTCTGTTGCCGCCTTCGGCAGTGCCATGATTCGTCATTGCAGCAATTCGCGCTTTCCCTGCCCACCACATCAGCAGGGATGTGCTGTGTCGCCGCTAATGTCTGCCTCTCGTTCAGGAAGAGGTCAAGATGTTACGGAACAAGGTTTTGAGGGAACCACGAGGTGCACGACTAGAGGTATATAATGAGTGTGCTAATCCGATGTGAGGCTTCCAGAGTAGCAGTTGTGGCTGACTGCTTGGACATTTAGCAAGGGCTGCTCTCCCTCATCAGCGGCTTTGCAGTGGCATCCTTGTGGTGGGCTATTTGGATCGAAGGATCATCATCTATGTCACAAGAACATCTTAAAGCACTTGTTCCCCGAGCCCATGGCCCTTCGTCCCTTTTTAGAGCGGCACCAAAGGCCAGCCCTAAACCCAAGCCTTCACGCGTCCAAGCCCTGGAAACTGTACCCTAAACTCTAAACCCTAAACGGTTGAGAGATATCAAGAAACTCTATGTTGCTACCTTGGTGCCCAACCGGTCAGTCGCACGGCTGTGCGACTTTGTTGCCTCAGGGTGCGAAGGATGTATCCTCGTGCATGTCACGACACATTCCGAAGCTCCTGCGAAGAAGATCATGAGGAACTTCTTGATCTGACTCTGACTGGCCTCACTACGGGAGTTGATGATGATCAACCCTACAAAGTCATGAAGTCGCATAGCTATCCAGCATGCTCGCCCGGTCGCGACATTGCATCTTGCTTTTTCAAGCTTCAACGCTGCCTTTGCCATGGAGTCAATGTGCAGCCTAATCATCTACTCTACAGTCAGCAGCCACCAGCTGTATTAGCAGAAGGGCTGCCAGGAAGTACAGTCTTGTTTCCACTTGACTAGTTGTGCCGTGATGTCTGTGGCCGAAGTAAGATCTCGTGAGTTGCTAAAGCGCCTCGCACCCGGAGATTCCGTGATGCTGTGAGTGCAGCTTGTCGGCGCTGACGGCTGGGCACCGGGGGGACATCATTGCACGGTCATGCTCTGGCTGCTCACATCTGCTCACCAGGGCTCGCAGCTAAGAATTACTACGTAGAGTTTTCATTGAGCCTGAGTCGCTTCGCAGTTTTGCACTGCTTCTTGCGACCCTTTGTGTCGTCCCACCGTTGTGATGCTAGGCGCATGGTGGTTTTGCCCACATTGCTGCCCGAGGCCGAATCGTTCGTTTTCGCATCTGATTGCTGAATCGAGCTTGGGCAGTCTTACAGTTTCAAGTGGTTCAAGTCTTTCCAAGTTTTACCGCTAAGACATCCGTCCGTGGGACTTCACAGTTTTTTTGATGCCGTGCCTGACAGATGGAGCGCTCCAAGACCATACACGCGCTCATCTCAGTTCGTGTCCACGCACTCTTCTTTCAAAGCATGTGTAGCCTGACAGGGGTTTAGAGTGGCGGGAGAGCATGAAGAGCTAGGCTTTGCCGAAGACGGTCACGGTCGAGTCCTTGTCTTTGGAAGAGGACTCGAGATGCACACCCGGCCATGTACAAAGTCTGGGCGGTTGCATCCGAACTGATATTGCGCTTTGCTGGACATGACTGCCTGCTGCTGTCTGCGTGCAGAGCTAAGAGCACGCATCGAAGTTTCTGTCCAAGCCGAAGCCTGTTACCTTTGCCGCAGGAAGGCCCCGTGAAGAGGTCCCGGGCCCGGAGGGTGAGTACTAATTCTCGCAGTCTCTTGTCTTCTCAGATGTCAGAAGACTGATGATCGCGAGATGAAGGAACTTCCTCTTTGATGTTGCCCTTTATACGCAACAAGTCCCCACAGCTTCCAGGTGATAGGTTCCTTGTGCTCAATTTTTCTGGTCCCGTGTCTTTGCCCCACGTTGACATTGTGTGGTATGATATGGTGTGGTATGGTATGGATTGATGGTATGTATGTATGTATGTATGTATGTATGTGTGTGTATGTATGTATGTATGTCTGTATGTCTGTATGCATGTATGTATGTATGTATGTATACTCACACATGGAGTGGGTAGAAAATACATAGGCCTCAGATGTTGATGTAGCTGATTTGATGTCCATCTTTAGGTGAGGGTTTCCGAAAATTGGGGTACCTTATTTGGGGGTCCTTATAATAAGGATCCTACTATTTAGGATACTATATTAGGATCCCCTATTTTCGGAAACTCCCAGGTGGCCTCCGATTGCCCGTGCCGTTGGTGGCCAGCGAGGCAGAAGCTGCCAGGTTTACCGTGGCACTGGTCGTGACAACATGACGACTATTCCTACTCCTACTCCTACTACCACTACTACTACTACTACTACGACGACGACGGCTACTACTACTACTGCTCCTGCTGCTGCTACTACTACGATGAGTTCTGATCATGATAATAACAATTGCTACTACTAATTACACGGTTACTGCTACTACAGTGGCCGTTTTGCTGGTGTCCAGTTCCCCGCCCTGCATCAAGAATCTGTGGCTGGCGAGTTGCGACACATCCGTCTTCTTTCCGCCTTTGGAGCGCTTGACTTGCTTCTTCACTTTTTGCCAAGTTGTTATCCACTGCCGCACATTCACCCTTTCTCTTCAAAGATGTATGTGCAGCTGCAAAGGCTTCGTGTCGCCGAACAATTGCAGGTCATGTACGAGTCCTCACGGGCATGATGGTATCGAGCTTGCGTTTGGGGGGCCTTGGGTTGAGTTCGGGTTGTCCGTGATTCGGGCTTCAAGGCCAGAGAGGAAAAAATAGCTGGATATCGAAAAGGTCAACAGGAAGGCTGTTGCGATCAGAATAATTCAGAATAAAGGATGGTCAAAGTCAAGAGAAGGTGGACGAGATGACCAAGAAGATCGAAGGTAGACAAGACTACCAACAAAGATCTCGCACCCAAACCCTAAATCCCAGACCCCCAGCCCTAAGCCCATACTATCCATTCCAACCCCGGGAGCTGCTACCCACGCGAAGCCTACGAAGCGACCTCTCATAGTCATAGTGCAGGCCCCACGGCTGGCGGCCTCTCTGTGGTGGGGAACCAGAGAGCCTCGGTGCTCTCCGGCAGGGTTTGGGAATTGGCTGTCAGTTCTGCTTCAAGTATTGGCACCAGGAAGAGCCTGAAGCTGACTCATACTTTGAGATTTTTTAGGGGTGAGGCTGAAAAGGCAAAGTTCTAAAGTTCTTGCGCTCGTTGAACCGCCTCCCATTTCATGATCCACGCAGGTGTCCCGCGCGTTCACCTCCAAGTGTACCACCAGGTGAGATGTTCGCAGCCGCTCCCTATGTCTCTCCTTATAGAAGTGCCTGCTTGACTCAACTTGGACCCGACATGACTTGTGAGAGCGGTTTCAAGCCTTTGTAAGTCTTGCACGAAGCCGTACGCCTTTGATGCTGCCTTGCGGTGGCTCCAAGCACCGGAATTCTGTGGCTTCCGCACGAAGTGCGGGCGCCGCTGGCCTAGCACTTCACTCTCGGTCAAGCTTTGTGAAGCTCCGCATGTCCAATCGTTTTTGCGTTTATCCAAGTGCTAAACTCTTACACGCAATGTTCACTGCGGCCACAGCAGAGTAGACCGAGACAATCGTCGCCTGAATTTTGGAGGCCGACTGCCTGAAAGGCTACAGCGGCTTCGAAAAGCACTGCCCGGACACCGTAATATCACCTCCATTGTGTGACGGTATCCTTCAACCTGGAAGCCTCTTGCTCTTGTTGCCCATGTCCGGGCAGAGTTTCCAAACCTGTTTTGCCATGCTGAACTGGCCTTTTTGAGATTGAGCCGCCAGGGCCATGCAAGGCGACTTGGATGCAGCCAGGTCTCGAGTCTTGTCTTTTCTGGTACTCGTCACGAGCTCCCGCAGTCTCAGTCTTTGGAGGTTCCATCGAAGAACGCTTCTATATGTACATGGACTGCCTGCGTCCTGAATCGCGGCACGTGCACGCACCGCTTTATGCTCCATTGAGTTTGGACTGGCACACGAGGAGCCCAGTCGCTTCCGCAGCTCGAAGCGAGAACACGTGCAGGCGGGTCTTCGCAGGCTGCCGTTGAAAGCTTTCAGTGCATCTTGTTGCTTTTCGGCCCAGGCATTTCGCTCCAGAGGTGGCCAAGGAAAACCTGCCCAGGATCCCAGATTTTGCAAATCGTGTTTGTTTTGAGAATTACATGATATGTTGTAGAAGGTTGGTATCTGTCATTTGCAGATACTGCTGGTATAACACCGCCATACCGCCGGCCAAGCGGATCATGTTCGTTAGCCAAGTCTGGCGTCAGAAGGGAAAGAGAGGGAGGGGAGGAGAGGCTGTCAACGCGCATCTGCTTGGCTCGTAGAAGTCGGCGAAACTGCTCGGGTGATGCTGCTTCTCTCATGGTTGCTGGTGCTCATCTGTTGCCTGCGCGCTGGCACGCAGGAGGTGCCGAACTCTTCGCCTTCTGCTTTAGCTGCGGCCGTTAGTGCAGCTGCTAATGATGCGGCAAGCGCGAGAATCCTGACGCTGGAAGCTCTGCCTGTGGCCATGGATGCCTCTGAAGCTTTAGCAGCAAAGCCTCGGAAAACTGTGCAACCTGCAGCACCTCCATACCGTGCTGACACAGTGGCACTGCCAGCAGTCGAAGCAAGCGCAGCGATTGCAGCTGCCGCCATGGAAGCATCGTTTTTCGCCGAAAGCGTGGCCATGGGCGAGCATCTGCAGCAAGCAAAGGCCACCAGAGAGGTGCCAGCGACATCGTTGGCGGCTCCCGTGCCGGCCCCAGATGCACCGGCTGGCTGCTGGCAGGATGGCTACACACCGGAACTCTGCTGCCGGGATCCGCCCGTTGCACAGTGCTGGGATGCTGTCTTCACACGCCAGCGCTGCTGTCCAAAAAAAGAGCACCCCAGGGAGGACCAGGATCTCTCCTCCTCCCACTCGCTGTCAGCGGAGGTGGCAGCGGTGGTGGCCGCCGCAGCCGCACGGAATGTCGCCTCCCAGACAGAAACAGAGGCCAAGGAGGCCCGGAAGGAGACCCAAAAAGGCACGGCCGGCGACGTTCGGACGGAGAGCAGCGAAAGCCCCGGCGAGGCAGCTGAGCAGCAGATCTTTTTGCAGCAAGAAGCGCAGCGCCGCTGGCCTTCTTATTTCAACCGAGCCCATGAAACACTGAATGCTGCAGAAGCGCCGACGTTGGACTCTGGCAAGCCAGATCCGGTACAGCTGTATCATCTGCTCTATGAGACCATCAACCAAGTAGTCGGCGGCCTTTCACTTGCGGCTGATGCTGCGCAGAGCAATTCCCAGATGAAGCAAGCATTTCTGAATGCTGCCGTCTTGCTGGCCCGCTTAGCCCGTGCAAGCCGCGGTACACCGCTGGAGCACGAGGACTTCGCCGCTCAGTCCGCCGCAGCAATCGCACTGGGCTGTACAGGTGGGGATCCGACTGGGTCACAGTGCAACCTGGCCGAAAGCCTCCATCAATTTGCAATGTCACCAGACCTGGATGTCGACTGGCTTGAAGACGGATTGAGACGGCTGAATGCCAGCAAGGTTACTGGGGTCGACCACGCTGAGCGATTCCGGCGCATCTGGCTGATGTATTCTCAGGATCCGTCCAAGGCCTTGTGGCGGCCAGCAGGCGTGCATGGCATGTCCTTCCAGTTTTTGGCAGTAGACGAGAGTTTAGCCATGGGAACTGTTTCTGGTGATGCCGCTAACTACTGACTTTTGCTGGAATCTTCGTCGCCGGTTCCGCTTGAGGCTTACACTCTTTTACACTCTTGGGATTGAGGACTTGCAGTCCGAAGTTCGCTTCGAAGCTTCGCATGTCCCGGTCTGTTTTGTCATCGGCAAGAGTCGAAACAGTATAGTCTATAGTGGTAATTGCATGAGATTCTTATTCTAGTCTTATGCGCAGGAAGCCTGTGACAGGTCCGGATGGTCATCAAGGGGGGCGCACGAACACGTACAATCCCCTGGAAGTGGGTCAGCTTCAGCAAAGTGTGCGCGGCTCCGGAAGCATCTGGCAGCTCTTCCCCACGTACATCATGGCTCGGGACATTGGGGGTAATGTTTGGCAAGAAGCTTCGAACTTAATGTCTTAATAAAGCGATTCTCGGGATGTTCCTGAAACCCTAAACCCAGTAAGAAAGACTCAGATCTCCGTCCCGTTGCTGCAATGCTTTCGGCCCACCGGCCGCTCAGAGCTCAGTGTTTCTGGCAGGAGATCGGACATGCCTTCACTTCTTCACGGACCTCGCAAACTTGCATCGCGTGCGAGCAGCTTACGAGCATTGTGTTGCTCAGATTTGCGAAAACCACTCTGCTTTCGGGGAGTAGCCAAGTAGCTACTAAGAGGTTGTACAACACGGGGGGTTCGTCTGGACTAGCCTAGGATGCCCCTCGTGTGGTTTAGCTTGTAAGACGATAAGAAGATGTCAGAAGTAAAATAAAGCGATAACGGTTGAATGTATGTTATATTAGTACTACGACTAGTCCTATTGCGATTACTACTGCATGCGGTTTATGGCAACTCTGCTGCTGCTGCTCCTACAGACCTTGCTACTGCTACTGCTATTGTTTGACAGAGGTGCTTTCTGAAGGACATGGGGCCTCCGGTACTCGTGCCAGCTAGCGAGCTGACGTGTTGTTCACCTGTTCTTGAGACTTCTGGACATCTTGGGATGGGTTGTAAGAGGCTGCAGGCAGCCACCGAGAGCCAAGCCTCTTCTGCGCACTTGTCCTTAGTAGTAATCCTTGATAGCTTGTAAAACGATGGAAGGATTAAATGAACAAACATAAAACTGGGCAGAAAATTCATAGCAGGGTTTTTACACAACCCCGACTAGCAATTACACCCGTCGCTGGAGCGAACCGGGGCTTTCATCGCAGCAGCCTGACTAAGGCTGCAAAGATACCAGCAGTTTCGGGACGAAGGCTTCGGGAGGAACAGCCGCCAGGATGATGTAAACAATGCTTTCTTCAACTGGCAGCTCACCCACGACGCGGAGCAGGAGGAGGAGGGCGCTGATGTGTGGCCGGAGTTGTATCGAGACTCTCGGGACTTCCAAGAGCTGAAAACGCTCGTAAAGCTCTCGTCTCTGGAGTACCTCCAGCAGATCTACTCCGAAAGGGCATTGTCCAAAACAGATCTGGAACAGCTCGAGCTCTCGATTTGGGCTTCGGTGACACCCCCGACGCGGAAGCCCCCGCCCCAGCAGACGCAGACGATGGGCTTGGCATTTCATGACCACCCACTGGCGCTGCTCAGCGGCGTCTTCTATGCAGAAGCGGGTGGCGAGCTCGTGGCAGACCGTACGCCAACGGTTTTTGCAGATCCCCGTGGGACGACCCCATTTCGCTATACACGGATGCGCAGCGACGAGGGGGAAGCCACGCTGGAGCCTACGGCGCCCTTCCATCGTCTGGCTTATGCCCACCCAAGAAATGGTCTATCCTTGGTATTCCCGTCCTGGCTGGTCCATGGGGTGGCACCGCATCGTGGCCCCAGGGATAGAGTGGTGTTTGCTTACAATCTACACACCGTGCCTGGCACAACGCTTGCAAGTTGGGCGAAGACGACGCTGTGAGAAGTCGTACTGAGAACCCTTCGAAGCTCCCTGGCACATGCTATGATTGCTTTGGGGAAGCATAATATGAATGGCGGTAAAGCTGTTGCCTGCGACAGACGACCCGAACGAGCGTGTCAGAGACTGGTTTGCCCGCATTCGACCTGTCGTCGTTGAAGGAAGCAGGCATCCGGAACAAGGAGTTCATGCTGGTCTCCACAGGAGCTCTCTGGTATGGGGGCCCTGTGAGGCTGCGGGCTGGTATCCGAACTGGCAGATGCAGACGCAGAGACCTGGGCAGTTGGAAGTTTCTGATGAAGGAAGGTGACGTGCCCGTTTTGATTGCTTCTCAAGTACAACTGCATAGGAGGGAAGAAATCATGATTGCTGGACGTTGACTGGCCCCCATGTCCGTGATTTCATCTTGAAGTTGGCTTTGTGGGGTGGCTGTTGGCGCCATCTTATTCTCGGGCGTGAGTTGGCATTTTTGGGAGGTGCGCATGCCTTTTCTGGATTCTCGCAGCGTGGAAGCCCTGCAGCATCAAAGTCAAACCTCCGTCGTAGGAAGGGTGTCCCCAGTGCGGATCCATCAACGGGGGTAAATTCCGGAGCTTGCAATGCATCACTGGGGGGACTGCACATCCATGAGGCCTCAGACCTACCCCAAGAGCAAGGGGCAAAAAGAAGACGAGAACTCGGTTTGAAGGCAGCGTACCCGTGCT